ATTATCATTTGTGAACTCTAATATGGTTGTAATTAGGCACTGATATATTTTCTTGTCACAATGCTAATATCAGAACAGTGCAACTAAATAGGCTGTGAATATTAAATGCCAGTAATTGTTGGACTCGAAGGCCGCTTTGTCTGCGGCAATTAGCTACTTGCTTTTTCTCCAGTATGACAACACTGTTAAACAAGGAGGAGAATCTGAGCTCAGGCAGGAATAGAGACCTGATCAATGAGGCTGCTCCAAGAGGATTTTTTTAAAAGATCAGAATGTACAAAACTTATTTATCTAAAATGTCAAGTTTTGCTGAGCAGTCAGAGTTGCTGCAGCTCCTGCGGTTTCCATTCTGGTTGCTGGACTCTTCAGAAGTCTCCTGTAAGTTCTTTTATAGATTCTGCTAAGGGTACTTCATTTTCCTCACCTCCTCAGAAGTCTAAATTTTTTTTGGCTCTGTGTGTGTTGGGTTCCCCCGCTTTCAGACACCAAAGGCATTGATTTCCCCCTTCTAGTCAGTCCTTTGACTTGAGGCAAAAATAAGGCTGTTTCTGTTAAAACAACCTTTTGTACACCTGGCTGTGGTGTCTGTGTCTGCAGTCTGCAAGTCCTTTAATTGGTGGGTCCTGCAGAAATTATTGATTAGGCTTTCTCTTAAGGTATCAGAGTAGAGGGAGCAAACAGGGTTGTTTTTTTTGGCCACATGACCAGCAGACAGGCTTTTGATACTTGGGGGCTGCATGTTCAGCTTGAGATTCATATTCCCACTTGGGAGCTGGCAAAAGATCCCTCCTCTCTCTTGTGCCGATTCTGCTGTAATGTGAACATCATCAGCACAGACAAAACACATATATGTGGCCATTTTACACCTGAAGTACCTTATCAGCCGTATCTATTCCGTGGAAGCTGAAGGTTAAACTTTGTGGGGTGTTTGAAGGTGGAATTCAGTGTTGTGCGCCTCCCATCATTTTGTCTGTGCAAGCATTCCAGTTTTCTGGGTAGAAAGACCCGCTCTCTGCTCCCCCTTTGTGCTGTTCGGGGGGGGGGTTCCTCCTGACACTCCCCTCAAGCCAATTTAGGGGGCATGTAGCGGGAGGGGAGGGAAGCCCCATTGCACAAGCAGCCAAGATTGGCTGAAGATGTCAATATCAGGCTTCTAATAGGACTTCCAGAAGTGAAGGAAGTTACTGACCACACCTGTGGCTACTACTCATCATTCTGTTGTGCCCCCCATGTAAAAAAAAACAACCCCAAACACCCTACCCAACCCTTCTTTGGCACTGGACCCTCTGCCTAGGCAGGCTCAAGAGATGGGACTTCACCACCAGTTCCTCAGAATAGTTCTTGCTGTTGAAGGTGAAGCAAACTCTTCTACACTGGGCTTACCTTATGTATGGTCAGACACACAAATGCACACACACATAGGGAGGGAGGAAAGAGCTACAGTTCAGATGAACAGTTATTTTGCTACTTTCTCCCTTTTTCTTCACGCATACTTAACCCTCAGTTGTAGCAAAGGCACAAATGAATCATGCTTGAAGACCCAACTATAGGAAATTTTGCAAAAGAATGTAACAACTAGAAATTATGTGCTGATTTGTATAAAGCTGTGCACAGCATTTGAGCTCTTTTTCTATGTGGTCAGTCTGAAAAATCCCTGGAGATTATTCAGTACATAATCTGGGCTTTTTGGAGATCCTTCTGGTTTTCTTTTTAATGCACTCTGCTACATTCCTTTAAAAGGAACCTTTTTGTGCCTTATGAAAGTTAATTGAAAGCACTGCCTTATTCTAAGTCCAGATCAGTTAACCTGGTAATTCTGTGTCTCAGTTTGCTGCCATTCCAGTGATACAAACAGAGGTCCTTGCCTGGAATCCAGGGCTCTTTTAACTAGAGATAGAACTGAGGGCCTTCTATACGCAGCTGTTTGCAGCTGCCTGGGTCCAACTCTCTGTGCTGATTTCTGCCTTCTTTGTCCACAGAATTTGCTACTTCAGTCGCCTCTTCTGGGAGTGGGGTGAAGGCGTCAGAGTGCACGACTCTCAAAAAAGGGACAGTTCAGAGAAGCTATCCAAAGAAGCTGTCTTATCCTTCATCAGACTCCACTCACCCTACGACCAGCTCCTCACGCGATCCTGGGGGACAGGAAATGAGCCTGGGTTGGAATCTTCAGCAGCTGATTAGAATCAAGTTTCTTCCAGCTGCTTGCAGTGAGCCATGGAGGAAAACTATGGTCAAGGAAGCCTGGTCGGGTGGTAGGGGAATCAGTGCAAAACAAATGGGAAATGGCTTCCGACTGCAAACTAACTCTGTACATAAATATCTGCTCCGGGCAGTTTATCCTGCAAGTACCCCAGAGGTAAGATTCCTGGAGCAGAGGACATTCTTCCAGATTGATCCCCACCATCTCTTTCTAGGGCTTTCCCCACCTGTGCGACGACCACCTGGCCTCCACGTAGCAGATGGCACAGCGAGCAAGAGGATGCGCACAGCTCCTCAGTCGTGCTTGTAAGAGTGGGAGACAATGTAGCTGGAGGGAAGAGTGGGGTTTTTAAAGGCCTCACTTTGTCCTTTATGGTGCCTCTCTGCTTTAGGAGCCTGGTGTGAATTCACTGGGAAGTTTGGCTCTTGCAGCACTTACTTCCTTCGGCTTGTGGCTCATGCCTAGGGAGTTCTGGATGCTCGAGGGGCGAAAACGGGGCAAATGGGAGGTATTGATTGTAATGGTTCAGGGGTAGTTACTGCCGACAGTGACTTGTGACTATGTTGAAAGCTGGATTTCATGCTTCTATGCAAAGTAAGTTTGTTGCGTTTTCCCACTCTCCACTTTCAGTAATGCAAATGGGTCACCCCAAGCAGTTCCATTTTGAAATCCTTGAGGCATGCCAAGTGTTTTTCACTGAGTTCAGCGAGTTGGGAAGATTTGGAATTTAGAGGATTGGTTTGCTTGAACCATCTGGACTTGATCTTTCCAGGGTAACAGCCAGCCCTCTTCTAAATAGGTCACTTTCCCTTGGCCTTTTTAATTATTAAAATAAGCACCAGAAATCATTTTTACGTTTAGATCAAAAATTCCGTCTGTAATGAAGGCACAGAGGATCTTCTTTCTTTTCCTTTCCTGCAATGACGATGAAAAGTAACCTTTGCTTTTCTGGCCTGTATTTTGGCACTTAAGCTCTTGTGTGCTGAGAACAAAAGACCAGGTTGAAGGGGCACGATGGTGCTTCCCCGTGTTGTGACTCTGCTTGAGATGGAAGGAAAACCTTTGCTGCGTTTTCTAATGGGAGCCAGTCATTAATACACTGCAAAAGACTATGGAGGCAGTGAAGGCACGGAAGTATTTGCACATGTTGGCAAGAAGGGACAGCGTCGACTTGAGGGGTAGCCTAGATTGTGCCTTAAGAAATCTGCGAAGCTTCCTGCAATTGAAGGCATCATCCGAGTCTCTGCCCTCATAGCAAAGCACCCAGAACAGGACATTAACAAGGGACACCCAAGTCCGCTGTGGGGAGGTACTAGGCAAGGCACCACCACTCCCCACAACCCTTTAGAAACCTCCTTATAAGCAGAACCGAAATCTTGTGACCGTTTTTGTGCTTTTATTAGGCATGGCCTTCAAGCCTGCTGTTCTTCAGTCACAAGGTTCACATACATTCATACTTTATTTATAGCAGTCGCTTAAGCAGTTGTCTAGCTTGATCAAGGCTTTGCACCACTGGAACTTGTTTTGAGGTTCCTTTACTGGCATACAGCAACAGGAGTTGCAAACTGTTGAAGTCTCTGTTGATCTGGCATGAGGAGGAGGCCACTCCATATACTGGAGGGACATCAGCTGGGGCCAAGGGGTTTTTGCCAACACCAAGGTTCTGCCTTTTCAGGGCAATTGTGGCAGGAAAAGGGCAAATTTCAAATCAAAATTGCCTTCGTGATACGTACGGGATCATCCTCTGGGTAGAGCGTAGGGCAGTGCTTGACCCATTTTGTTTCAAGTGGGAAGGGACAAAGGTGAATAAATAACCTCGGACTCCTCTAATTTGAACTTCATGGCGTTGGTTTCTGAAAGTACTTGTTTTGTAGAACAGCATGGTGTGTTTTGAGCTGCCTTCTCCCCTGCGCCTAATATGACACAGCAGACGGGACTAATGAGACATGTAATTAACAGTGGGTATTCTAGCTCAGAACCTCCTTGCCTGCTGGCCTAGAATATTTCAGAAAGATTTTATTATAAGACCTGACTTCCTCTGATGCTAGTCTATATTATTTGAGGGCAATTGGTAGGGAAAGTATGAATACTGGGGTAGAATGATTTCAGAAATGTCTATCCTCACTTAATTCACCTGCGTTACAGCTAATTTCTGTTATTGTAGGGCTAGTAAATGGTGTTAGTAAAAGATCTAATGGCCTCTTGTGGGGTCAAGATTCTTCCATTGCGAAGTACACTAGCTGGGGAGCCCAGCACTCCCAAGTCATTTCAAGATCTGTTAAAGGCTGCATGCCTGACACTAATGAACATTATAACAGCTTAATTCCAGTATTGGGGAATGGACTCTTGATAAGTTCAGATCATGGAGGGCTTTTATCATTAGAAAGACTGGGCCTGGATAATGCAACCTGCTGTTGTTGCCTGTTCTCATACCAGCCCATGGGGGAAGGTGGTCAAAAATGTCTTGCTGAAAGGAATGTTTACACAATGTGTTCTGTGAAGCTGTGTACCATTTGTGTTTGTTCCTCTTCCCTTTTTGTCTGTGCATCGCCAATACAATCCTTATAATTCAGAAATGTGCTGTGTTCTTGGCTTAGATGAATTTCCCAGAGCTCGGCTGTGTATTCAAAGTGGCCTAAGGAAGGGAGGGTAAAACTGTTCTGGCTTGAACTTTGTAAAGAAATAGTAAGAGAGAGACTCTGAGTATTAATACAGCTTAACATAAGCCATGGACAATACGCTGTTGGTTTCCATGAGACTGTAGCTCTTTTCAGCTCCGCCTGGCAACGTGCGCCCAACATACAGACATTATCAGGATTTATTATCAAGCTCATTTTGATCAGTGGAAGATGGACCGTTCCACGAGTCCCAGTATTATAAACATATAACACAGCCTTCATTCTCGGTGCAATTATTTCCTAGTTACAGCAAAGAGGCAGAAGATAGATCCTCTTCCAAGCGGGAGGATGGTATTTATTCAAATTGTGGAATTAGTTTTATTTGCCCTTTGCCAACCCCAGGAAATTCTTCTGCCCTGTACTATTCCCAGATGCTCCACCTATGCTGCTCAGTGGGAAAGGAAGGCATTGAGGACCATGGAAATAGGACGAGAGGGAGAGGCTTGGTGTCTGTTGAATGGGGGGAATGGGAGAAAAGCTTTGCAGTGGCAAAAGTTTCATTTTCAAAATGCTTGAGCTACTGAAACAATCTGAGGGACTGATTACACACAGGTGGCTTCTTAAGAACAGGAAATGGCAGCATTACTGATTATTCACCACAGAATAACGGGACGGCTCCAAACATACTTCAACCTCTTCTCCAAAATTTTCCTCATACAGCAGGGACTGCCGAGGCCATTATGATTTGGAGGTGTCTAGAGAGCACTGGCTTGGAAAGCCGATCACGCCCTCGAGACAGTCTGGTGAGGGAAAGAAGAGGTTATCACAGTCACGTCATGAGGGGATCTTGGCAGAATCTGCTACATCGTCCAGCAAGTGTAAATAACGACAAGCAGCAGCACGAGGGCCACTGAGAGGGCTGCATTCTTGCGGTTTTCATGGCGAAGTGCTTTCAGTTCTTTCTCTGAAAAGAGAAAAACACAGGTGCTACTTTCGTCTCAAAATCACCCACAACCTCTGTTTGGGGGAAATCAAGTTTTCTTGCTCCAGTGTCTCGCCACATTAGCGAGCCTGATAAAAACTTTTTAGACCTCTCCCAGACAGCCGCTCATCTAAGACAGGCCTGTTCCATTTCTTTTAGTGCCTCTACTGCTGTGGAACTGGCAGTGTTTAAGCCTTCTAATGTTCTTTAAGCTATTGCCTTAAACATTTCTATATTTTTTTAGAATGTGGTTGTGTTTCTCCATTATAGGTAGATGTGCTCTCTCAGCTGCATGCCTTACTTGCAGGTGGATAACTCTTACAAACAGAAGCAGTGTATTACAGGGCCTGACATAGAAGAAGAACAAGCCTGGATGAGGGGCACGGCAGAGTCTAGAGGCCTTGTTATAAAGCACTGTCTGAGCTTTCATTTTATCTCTCTGCCTGAAGTTTTCGTAAATTTTACAAAGGTGGAATAAAATAATCTCTCTTTTAGAGAGGGAAACTCAAGGTGCATAAAATATCCCTCAACCTGCTGCATCAACCTGACTTTTGCAATCAGCCTGTGGCTTCGGCTTAATCCTGTTACGGATAACTGGAGAGCAGAAAAAGGAAAGCAGTTCTTGCACAACCACCAAATGTGGTGCTCTCATTTAACCCATAGAATGATTGCAAAAGGAATTATGATGGTGGGATTGCTTTGGTTTGTGAGAATAAAAGTTATATCTCAGCAGCATGCTCATTGAATTCAGATCCCAGATGGTTGAAATGTAGCCTTTTCTTAGTCCAGCTGCTTAGGAGGTAGGATAAGGAGCTTAAAGGATATTTGCAAATCTTTATATTCCTACTCAAGGTTCTTAAAGGAGGTCCACAAATCTTTTTAGAGTCCTGCTTAAGGTTCTTATGAAGCCTTGAGTTTCAAGCCTAGTTTTCATAAACCTGCTTGCAGAAGAGCTCTGTGTAACTCAAAACGCTTGCTATGTAGTCCTAAAACAATTACATGGCGACATATGAGCTGGCTTTACTGACACGTACAAACATTTTACTTCAATCCACCTCTGTGTCAATTGAATGTATTGAGCCAGTGGAAACCTGCTGCTTCAAAAGGAATTACTAGTCGAGGCAGGAAAGTGCCTCTCTGCCTAACTATATGACTAGTTTGAATTATGGGATGAGAAACTGCAGTCTGAGGGACTGGATGCAACCCTCTTGATGTGACTAGTCAGACTGCCTCTCGCTGATCCTGCGCCAATGTCTTAGCTGGAATGCTGTTTTTGAGCTGCCTTGCTGCCTGGATGGCGATGTGTGTGGTATGAATTTTGTGTGGCTAGAATGTAGCCTACTGTGCAAAGGTAGGAGTTGCATTCATTGCTTCTCCCAGTTTTGTCTCTGGCTTTGCCCATCTGCGGCCCCAGCTGTTTGGCTAAAGAAGGCGGAGGGTTCCAGGGGAATTTATGTTGCTTGCCAGCTTCTATGCAACTGTTCCCATCTTAGCCATTCCCCGGACCTGAGGGCCCAGGCAATGTCTCAGCCTAGCACTGCCTGGTGGGGTGGTTGTGAGGATGAAGTATTCTGCCCTAAATTCCTTGGAGGAAAGGTGGTGTGTGAGTGTAACATAAAGAAAGCTAGCTCCAGTTTAATTGAGAGCCTACTCAATAGCTGTGCCGCAGCTGCCTTGCTACCTTGGGCTGCTACACAGCAATCAAGCCTCTTCAGAGGCAATTTCGGCGCTTTTGTAATTTCTGCGAGAGGTTAGACCATAGCGACTGCTTATTTGACAACAGAATCATTGTCGCTGACTGCAGCGGCAGCAGAGGTCAGAGCGCAGCTCGGCGTGCGACTGCCAGAGGAGTATAATTTTAATGGGAAGTTTCAGGTGTTAATACGACAGCTCAGGCGGATGTCCCTTTGTATTTGCTAGCTCCCCAGGGAGACAGCTTTAACTGAGATGAGCCCATTGCATTAAAATGGGGCGGAAAGGTCTTCAGCCCTTGACTGGAGGCTAGTTCTCACTGCATCTATGGTGCTCTTATGGGGCACTGCTCCCTTCACTGACTGACCGTGCATGCTGGCTATTTAGAAGCAGGATCAACTACATGAGGAAGGCAGAGAAATATTTTAGATCAGACATTGGGAGGAATTTTCCAGTTGTGTTCTGTGGCAGGGAGGTGGTTAAATGTCTTTCTTCTGAGTTTTTCTAAGAGTCTCTCAGGAATCTATCATGGATAATAGTGGAACAACTTGGTCCTGGAAGCTGGGCCACATGATCTCATTGCGTCCTTTCTAACACCAGGGACCCATTTCACCTGTTTAAGGTTTCCATTAAATTATAAAAAGGGAATAACTGCAGCCAAGTACAGCTCCCTAAAAAAGTTTACTTGCATGCTACCATGCACACGCATGCCAATTTCAACCTTTAGATGTACAACTTTGTGCAGTGCAATGTGTGAAGTGGCTTTCTGATAGACCTGGTCCTGAGGTTATTTTCAAATCCAGAGGGTGGGCGAGATCTCTGGAGCAAATGAGATTTACAACAAGCCAGCAGGTGGCAGCACAACCTAAAGAGCGGAGGATAGATAGTGGGCTAATGAAGCAATTATCAGGGGCTTTCCTGACCACAAGCAGAGAGAGTGAGCTTTGAAGTAGCTCTCAGCCATAGTAGCACAGACTAATGGAAGGGAAGCAGTAGTCTTGCTGCAAGGAGGGCTCCCTCTCTGCACCCTTTCTTTGAGACAACTAAGAACAAAGTTTGCAACATGGCGTAGCAGAAGTGCGAAGGAGGTTGCCGTACTAGGGTTTTGCTTTCTTGTATTTTAAAAGGCCCTAGAAGTACAGTCAGAAACCCTCCATCTCTAGCCAAGAAGCTAGACATTTTTTTAAATCACATTGGGGGGAAAAACTATAGGAAGGAAGTATGTCACTCAGCCCCGGTGTTGATATGGCCAATAGCCACTTGCTGTCGCCATGATATGATACATGCAGCAATTTCAAGTACGATGTATGCACTACCTTGAGGAAATGCAATCATGGAATACTAAGGACTGGGTCTTCAGGGAATTGAGTTTTCCTGATGTGGGGGCAAGTAAGGGAATGAAGATACTTTGGTTCCTTTCCCAGCAACCAATAACCATATTCCTTGGTGCCAGGGCTTTTAAGTGGGGATGACAATCTTTGTTTCTCACAATTAGACTGTTAACTTTGCCCTTGCCTTTCCTTGCAGCTATCCATGCCATTTCATTTTTGCCCCAAGATGCTGGACCATGGGCCTACATGAGGCAGGGTTTACAACCACAGTCTGAATTGAACAGTCACTGTGCTGCTAAATGGCCAGAACCTCCTTGACCTAAGGCTTTATCCAAACTCTTCCCCCCTGCCCCATCCCTGTCCGTCCGTCCCATTATTTTTGGTGCATGTACATTCCCACCCTTCTTCAGAGATCCCACAAAAGCGACTCCTTAAGGGCCATATTCTTATCAAGAGGCTACTCTGCATTTGATGCAGAACGTATTTAATGGGAATGCAAGCAACCTTTATTTTCTCACCAGGGGGCACCCAGAACTTGTCTAGCAATTGCAAAATTGCTTCCTCTTTTGTACACCAAACAAATCAAGGCCTGAAGAATGACATCATATATCAGCCAAGCCAGCAAAATGGTTAACGAAGCTATCGGCTCTCTCAATGAACAAGAGAAATGTTCCAGTTACAGATAGAGAAATGTTGCGATCTGACAAATTGGTTTGCATTCCTATTAGTAAAAAGCAGGATTTCTTTCAGGATGTGTAGGATTTGGCCTTACTGTGTCTGAAAGAGGGTTAATTAATAACCTTGGCTTTATAAGGCTCCATTTCAGGGAAATTCTCTCTTTGAATGATGCAGATTTTTAAGTGTATATGTGTGTGATACGTTCAGCAAATTCTAAAAATTGAAATCACCTTGGAAAAGAGACTAAATGCATTAGTGGCATTCAGTGAACAGTAGACACTAAAGTTAAGAGGAACAACACCTGTTCTGGGCAACTGCAAAAGGTCCAAGCTACACTTGAGTTTAGAGTAACTTTTCCCCTGGAGCAGTGTAGTGGGTTGGGAGTGTCTGAGCTAGGAGACAGGAAGTACCTGCTTCAAATCTAACCTCGGCCATGCATTTCCTAGGTAACCCTAGGCAAGCAAACTGCAGCCATTCTCCACCTCAACCCCCCAAACACAGCCTGTTTTATGATCCACTTGCCCTGTTTTTATTTACCCATTGCTTTTCTGCTCTCATTTTACCTTTTCAAGCTGAAATAGTCAACATCCTTAATTTACACTGTTTAAATGGAAATGTATATTCTTGCAAAAATTAGGGGTTTTACTGCAGAATTCTAATACATAAATTCTGGCAAGGAGTGCTTGAACTCTGTTTCAGAAGGCATTTATGATCTCTGCATTAAAAAAACAGTTTTCCATGAGCGTATGGGCAGTTGAATGAATTACTTTAGTTTCACAGCTCCTCCCTCTTGTGAGCCTGTGAATTAATGGTATGTCTTTGGGGAAAGCAGTTTCTAAAGTTACTCATTCCTTACCATAATTTTCAGCTTTGGTTGCTAGCAGATTTCTCTCTCTTTCCAGTGACTTTCTGCAAATATGTGAGAATGATTATTAGATATTCTGAAAGTTGTGCAGTGAAATAAAATCTTCCCCACGGCTGGCTGAGAAGGTTCTCTGGCACCTAGACTTTAAGGCCTCTGTAGTTATCACAAACTGTGTCTGGACTGTATCACTACAGGTGGGCACCACTCATATGATTATTTTTATTACATTTATTACATTTACATACCACTTTTTCTTCCAAGGGACTCAAAGTGGTGTGCATGGTTCCCCACTCCACTCCTGTTCATCCTCACAGCAACCCTGTGAGGTAGGTTAGGCTAAGAGATGGTGACTGGCCCAGGGTCACCCAGTGAGTTGAGGGCTGACTGGAGAGTCAAACCCTGCTCTCCCAGGTCATAGTCCAGCACTCTTAACCATTACACCACACTGGCTCTCCATGCAAAAACTGACATGGCAGGGAGGAGGGCTCTAGCCTAGCCTGTTTTGTTTGTTTTAAATGCAGGGACTTCCATCATGTGACTCCCCCATCTGCAGGTCTCAAGTATATTCCGGGGTGGCCAGGCTTCAGGCTTGTGGGATCTACTTTATTTCTGCTAGAACCTTTACGTGCCACTGGTAGCTTAGACAGGCAGGCTTACGCTAGGTATAAAGTACCTGGTCAGATCAGGAATTTGTGATCAGTAAAAGAAGGAAGCTCATAAATCCTTCTTGCTGACTGTTCTCCAATTGTTGTTTTTCAGCAATCAAATTCCAGTGGGAAAGCTTTTTAGGTTTTGCTACTGTTGAATCGTTGAGCGGCGGAAGCCCTTGCCACTCCGTGACAAATCACAAAGAGATCTGCCCTAGAATAGATACCGCTGGTTCTGCTAGCTAGGGATGATGGGAGTTGTAGTCCAACAACAGGGGGGACCCAACGTTGAGAAACACTGATCTACAGTATAGTGCAGATACTGGTTTACCTTATCTGCTGCCTGTGAGTTACCCTCAAGTCAGCTCCCGTCCACAGGCCTCTAACAAACTGGGGGAGCTTAAATCAGACTTTTGTAAATAACCCCACAAAAGTAACTAGCCTGCTGACAGTTGGCAGAGGAAGGACAGAGAGCTGTATTTCTGCACTGGATGCAGAATTTAGCCTCCCTACTAGTTTCCATGCCATTCCAGCTACTCAACAGCATGCAACTCCTGGTTGCCTCCCAAAAGAGTGCTTAAATACACACATTTCCTCATTAGAAAATAAATACATCCTCAGAGGAGGATCTCTCTCAAGGAAATATTATTGCCCTTTCTTTCCAAGTCTACTCATCTCAGTCAGAAATCCTGACTGCTTCATCCCAGATGAAGTTTCCAATCTGCCACTTCTGAGCAGAAAATTGCAGAGTCTTGCATGTAGTTTAATGTTCAAGGGACATAAGCGCATCTGTTTCCCCACATTAGGTCATCTTGCCTGAATCTCGTAGAAGCCCTTACTGAACAGCTGCACTGCTTTTCCACAGCACATCTTCTAAGAAGGGGAACAAATCTACAGCTTTGCATTGTTAGCTGCGCAACATGATTAATTAATCCATAGTTTAAAGCACAAGAACAAAACAAATTGCCTGAAAGTAGCACCTGCAGCAACAGTACGGTTCCAATAACAGCGGAGAAGACATGCAGCAGCCACTGTGTGGCTAGAAATAAAGAGACACCAGCAAATTGGCTGCTGGTTCCGAGGAAGCCCTGTGGTGTATTTGGGGAAGGCAGGGGGCCTAATAGGGTTTGTCCCCCCCCCTCCCGAGAGTAAAGCATGAGACAGGGTGTAAATAGAGCCAAAGCAGACTGCAGAGCGAGTTAAGGGAAGAGCACAGGTTCATGTTGGGAAGGGCATGCAGAGAAGGACTCTTAGAAGTACGTCAAAGGAGGAAGAAAGAGAGACACCAGCCAGGGTGGGGAGAAATCTAGCCAATTCTAAAGCAGCTATTGAATGGCTACTGTAGAAGACAAAAGGCTGGCAAAATTGCATTGGGGGCTTTGAGGATCAGAAATAAATGGCGCCAACTTCTTAGCAATTTGTTCATAAGCATCCAAACTAGCCAGTCCCTCCTCTTTGTTTGCTGCCACCCCCCTACTTCTGGTCCAAGATTCTCTGGGTGGTCCAAAAAGAATTTATCAAGGAAAGGTGATAAATTAAGAGCATATTAAGGCTCAAGAGTGCATCCTCACAGGCTACACCACAAACAAAAAGCAGCAAAGGGCAGGCTTCAGTTTGTTCAAAATTGTCTCCTTTTCAGAGCAAACTGTAGCTGGGGGATCTCATTAAATCTCTGCTCTGTCCAGAGCTGTTTGCAATCAGCAAACTTCGCCCACCAGTGGTTTGCATGAGCAACAGACACTTGCAGTTCCATGATGCATGAATGAGCTCTTTGAATTCCCACTAGTACCTTCCCTCAGGAGTCAGTTCTTCTCTCCGTAGCTTAAAATCCAACTCTTCCAAGTTCTCTCTGCACTGGGACAGCTTCTCCTCCAGGGTATCTATCTGAAACACACATAAAACAACACCAAGAATGAATGACTAGACTCTTCACCAACCGCTCAAAATGCCCACCTTGGGTTTGACTGGAGACTTGAAAAAGGTTTCAGCTGTCCCACCCTCCAACAGAAAGAAGCAGGACAGACAGGGTATAACGTAAGCTCCTTGAATTGGGCCTGGAAATGAACTGGCAACCTGTGCAGCTGTTTTAAAACAGGTTATATTAGATCTGAAGGAAACCTCAGCCAGCAATCTGGTGGTGAAGCTCTAGTCAGCATCCCTTCCTGCAAATGGGCCTGCAATGAAGTTGGTTGCCGATCAGGGCTTTAAAGACACTAACTGGCACATGAGGTTAGTAACAGGGACCTCAAAATCCTCCTTTTACAAACGTGGCAGAGAGACACTTAGGCAGAGGATACCCGAACAGCAGGGTAAGCTTGCTTTATGGTGGGTCTCCAGTGCCGGGATCAATATGGCATAAAGGGGCAATAAACACGTGGCTCTCATACTAAATATTAAAGGTGCCCCCCCCCGCAAAATATTCCAAGAATTGCAGTATCAAGGGATAGGTTCGCAAAAGGTACAAATATCACTTAAGATGCCCGATTCCCAATAAAACTCAACTTGAGATTGGCATTAAAATGTCATCTGTAGCTTAAAAAAAAAAGTTACACTAAGTGATGCTTTGTATTACACTGATAATTGCTCTGTAAGAAAAACAGAAGACGCCATTCCTTGTCTAGCAAGAACAGATCCCAATCCAGCAAGGGGTAGCAAGGCATAAAGAAGCAGGTTTGCACAAAGACAGAACTGATGGCGCTGAGGCTCCAAGACTTTGGCCACCTCATGAGGAGAGAAGACTCCCTGGAAAAGACCCTGATGTTGGAAAAGATGGAGGGCACAAGGAGAAGAGGACGACAGAGGACGAGATGGCTGGACAGTGTTCTCATAGCTACCAATGAGTCTGAGCAAACTGTGGGAGGCAGTGGAAGACAGGAGTGCCTGGTGTGCTCAGGTCCATGGGGTCATGAAGAGTCAGACACAACTAAATGACTAAACAACAACAAGAACTGATGGCAGTGCATATCTGGGTCTGCATTGGGATGATCATCCAGGCTGGCCTGACGTTTGACCCAGATGAGAAATAAACATTCTTTTCCATGGACCATGAGTTGTGTGTGACTAGAGCAGAATCAGGGCAAGAGTATTCATTTGCCATCAGTACAGATTGGGACACAAATGTCTGCTTCTCAAGTCATTTCTTTTTAGCAAAATAAGTACTCTCGTTACACTTCAGAAGCAATCACACACACACACACACACACACACACACACACCTGTATGGAGATCATAGAATTGTAGAGTTGGAAGGGACCCTGAGGGCCATCTAGTCCAACCCCCTGCAATGTAGGAATCTCAGCTGAAGCATCCATGACAAATGGCCACCCAACCTCTGCTTAAAAACCTCCAAGGAAGGAGCTACTTAAAGAGCTACTTCCCATGTTAAGATTTAACATCACACCCACTGGCTTAAGATGAGCAAATGAACATTCATAGCCAACACTTAGGGGGGGAAAGGCAGCTGGAGCAAACCTTTGGAATGTAGATGTACAACTCCTTGAATTTTCTCCAGGCAATAAGGCACATTTGAGGCTATTTATATCTTAATGCAGCCATGTCTTCCAGAAAATGGAAAGTGGCCCAGTGACTTGCCCCAGGTGAGGCAGGCAGATTAACTTGGGCAATTCCGAGTCCCAAGCGGATACTTCTAACTGCCGTGATCATCTTGCATTCAGCTGGAGTTGCGGCAGGAAGCAACTGCTGGCTGCTTAAGATAGTCATCTAATTAGTCTGCTAATTTATTTTCCAGTAAAGTGGAGAGACAAGAGAGGGAGAGGGAGCAGCTGAAGTGCAAGGGAACAGGTGATGAAGGACTTAGGAGTATGGGAAGAATGAGGTCTGAACAAAGGAGGCCCCTTAAGGGAAAAGTGCCTTGGGGAATTTCCCCCTCCCTCAGCATCTCATTCTGAGCCCAGGGGAAATCTGTTTTGCCACCTCACGGGTAAAGCATCAGGAAAGAGGTTCCATTAGTATCTGGCAGAAACAATGTGCTCTTTGCGGAACATAGGAAGCAACTTTTCATGCTGTCAAACCAGGGGACCCATCTAAGCCAGTGCTGTCTACTCAGAATGGCAGCTGCTCCCCCAGGTCTCAGGCAACGAGGTCTTTCCCAGCCCTGAAGCCTGACATGTTTTAAATTGGAGTTGCCAGGGATTGAACAGGAGATGATCTGCATGCAAAGCCAGCTCTCCAAGCTATGGGCCCCTCCCCATACAGGGGAATTGCAAGGAGAGCTTGTACAGTGGTGCCTCGCAAGACGAAATTAATTCGTTCCGCAAGTTTTGTCGTCTTGCGATTTTTCCGTCTTGCGAAGCACGGTTTCCCATAGGAATGTATTGAAAATCAATTAATGTGTTCCTATGGAAACTGACTTCAGACCAGGTCCGGGGACAGTCTGTCCCCCGACCTCTTCTGAAGGCTGGGGGGGGGGGGACCAAGGGCTTTTCTTCCCACCCCCAGCATTTTAAAAAACCCCGGGACAGCGGGGGACTTCTCCGCTGTCCGGGGCGATCTTAAAATGCTGGCGGGCGGGAGCGAAGCCTCCGCTGCCGCCTGCCAGCATTTTAAAAAGCCCCGGGACAGCGGGGGACTTCTCCAGGACCTCTTCTGAAGGCGGGCGGGGGGCGAAAGTCTATGCTCCCCCCCGCCTGCCTTCAAAAGCCGTCCGGGACAGCGGGCAGGGGGGACAAAGACTTTTGCCCCCCGCCGGCCTTCAGAAGAGCTCCAGGACCTCTTCTGAAGGCCGGCGGGGGGCAAAAGTCTTTGCTCCTTCAAAAGCCGTCTGGGATAGCGGAGAAACGAAGGCTGGGGGCGGGAGGAGGTCTCTCAGCCCGCCGCCAGCCTTCGGAGGAGGTCCGAGGACAGCGCTTCCCCGCTGTCCCGGAGATTTCCCTATGGGCTTTCGTCTTGCGAAGGAAGCCCATAGGGAAATTCGTTTTGCGAAGCGCCTCCAAAACGGAAAACCCTTTCGTCTAGCGGGTTTTCCGTCTTGCGAGGCGTTCGTCTTGTGGGGCACCACTGTACTGATGCTTGACATGGTTTTCCCATTAGCTTGTCAATCAATTCATGCTCCCTTCCCAATACCCCTTTCCAGTGCGCATGGTGTTGAGCACAAATAGTAGGAAGCCTGGCTAAGAGAGGCCATGTGCCCATCTGGAGCAGCCCTTCCCAGTAGCCCACTGAGATGTGCTCAATACAGAGGATGGGGAGACCTTCCCCAGTCCTGCACCAACTCTGGTTGCTCATCCCAGGGCGAGGAAAGAGGGAAAGGCGTCCCTTCGAAGAGTTGCACTGGGAAATCAATTCTACTGATCCCCTGATTAGCCACTTTATGGCTCAATTCTGGGCTAATTAGCAATCCTCACACTCTGCTCAAGGAAAGCAAGCAGCACCAGCCTCAGGCAAGGCAGAGGGAAGAAGGAAGGAATTGGGATGCAAGGGACCAATTTATGGCTGTAGAAGCAGACTGGTTTGGGGAAAATAGTGTTGGCCTGCCTTTCATATGTGTTATAAGGATTATTGACATTATCTTTGTGAAGCACTTTGAAAAATTGAAGTGCAGTGTATTATTAGTCTGTCTACAGCAAAAGCACCTTAAAAACAGCCCCCAAAACAGGTATGGGAAACCTTTGGCTTGCCAGGGGTTGCTGAACTACATCTCGCATCATTCCTGGTGACTGGCCATGTTTGCTGGAGCTGATGGGAGTTGTAGTTAGACAACATCTGGAGGGCCAAAGGATCCCCACACCTGCCCAGATAACATTAGAAAAGCCCTGTAGGGTCAAACCAATGGTCCATGTAGGTCAGCACCCTACTATATGACTCTCACAAACAGGGCTTGAGGGTAGTAGCTCCCTCCCTGTTGTTGCCTTCCAGCAACTAGTACTGAGTGCCAAACAGTCTCTGAAACTATGAAGCCAACATGGCTAATAATCTTAATTGGTCTATCCTCCCTGAATGTGTTCAATCACTCTTCTGTACATTTGCCTATTTTGAGAGCAGATGCATCCTGGGATATGTACCCCATCTTCGGCCAAATTCAGAAACGGTTCACACAGAAGCAAGATGCAGCTCCCACCTCTTAGCAAAGCTGTCTCTCTCTCTCTCTCTCTCCTGGCACAGCAGCAGAACAGGTTAAGCACCTCTCTTTATTTCAGCATTTCTATAGTGCTTTTTAGGCGAACCTCACACAAGAGTTTTCATTCAGTCATTTAAAACAACATCCATCAATAAAAATGACACCTTTCAACAAAAAGACAATGAAAACAGAACTGTGGGTAGTTGTGAACCAGATAAAACCATCAGTTGAGACTAAGGCACACTAAGAAGCTGGAGTAAATTAAAATGCATTTGTCTTGTGCTAAAAAGAAAGCAAAATCGGTGTCAGGCAAGTCTCTATATAGGGAGAGCATTTCAAAGATAATGTATTACAACAGAAAAGACCCTATAGCACAAGCCACCACCTACTTCTCTTCAAATGACCTGAAGAAGGACCCTCTGAGAAGAATATTAATATTCAGGAGGGTTCATAAGGCAAGAGACTCTACTTGAGGCATTTTGGTCTTGCACAATAATTTGGCCTGGAAATGGACCAGAAACCAATCCATCTGTTTTAAGACTGACAAGATCCAAATTGGTAGTCTACCCACCATATTGATTTTGTACAACCTCCAGCTTCCAAATGGTCTTCAAGGGTAGCCTTGTGGACAATGCATTGCAATAATCTAAACAGGACATTGCCAGAGTGTCAATAATTGTGGGTAAGCTACTATCTTTTTGTCTTAGGAGAATTTGCAGATGACCCACTCGCAAACCAGATCTTTAAGAGAGAGTGCAACATACCACGTCATACTACCAATCAGCAGCATCTCCCATCTTGTCAGAAT